ATTACAAGTATTATTATCATAATCTTAATATAATTACATGTATCTAATATATATAATATATTATTTACAAGTAACATATTATTAATAACAACTAACCAAAATTTATCTAAATTAACATAAATCAAAAAATTAAGTCAATTCTATTTTTAAATATTTAAACATATTAAAATCATTTATATTATTTAAAAAAAGTAAATTAACTTCTGGGCGGTCGGCTGACCACAGAGCCGACTGGCGAAGACGGACGCCTTGGGCTTGGCCAACCACTGATGGCGGCTGCTTAGGGTACGACCGACCACAAATGTTGGCTACTCATGGTGCAGGCGCACGCCCGAAATCGGCCGCGATCGGCTGCCGACCTCAACCTCGGCAGCTGGCCGGCCTGAATTAATAAAAATTTTTAAAAAAATTTTACAAATAAAAAAAAAAGTATATATATATATATAACGAGCCGAGCCGAGCTCAAGCTCGTTAAGGCTCGAGCCCGAGGCCTTAACGGGCTGAGCTCAGGCTCGAATTTTGGCTCATTTATTTAACGAGTCGAGTGACTCGGCTCGTTTACAACTTTACATGTGAGTTTGTTATCCACCCGAAATGTGGCATTTGCTAAATTACTTGCTCAACTTATCAGATGAAAGGCTCAATTTCCAGATTATATTATCGAAAGGGTCAGACTTGACAATGCTGGTGAATTTACATCTCAAGAATTTAATGATTATTATATGGCAGTTTGCATTGATATTGAACATCCCGTGACGCATGTTCATACTAAAAATGGTTTATTAAAATTTTTTTAAACTGCTGCAGCTTATAGCTAGACCATTGATAATGAGGGCAAAACTCTCCACTTCTATATGGGGACATGCTATTCTGCATGCAGGGTATCTAATTCGAATTAGACCAAGTGCATACTGTAAATACTTGCCATTACAGTTGGCATTTGGTCGAGAACCAAATCTTGCACATATAAGAGTATTTGGTTGTGCAGTGTATGTACCAATTGCTCCACCCCAACGTACGAAAATGGGGTCTCAAAGAAGGTTGGAAATATACGTTGGATATGAATCTCCATCAATAATAATATATCTTGAGCCAAAAACAGGTGATGTTTTTACAGCTCGTTTTGATGATTGTCATTTTGATGAAGAATTATTTCTTCCATGAGGTGGGAGTGAAAAACCAATTGAGAGAAACATTGAATGGAGTATATCATCAATATCATATCTTGATCCTCCCACCAAACAAAGAGAGCAAGAAGTTCAAAAAATCATACACCTACAAATATTGTGAATCAATTGCAAGATACATTTCTTGACTCAAAAAGGGTGATTAAATTACATGTGGCAGTTGTGAATACCCCTGCTCAAATAGAAACTCTAAAAGAAATGGCGAATGAACATATGCCAAATGAAACAAATATACACTTGAAACGAGGAAGACCGATTGGGTCTAAGAATAAGAATACTCGAAAGAAAAGAGAAATTGTTGACCTCAATTTGATGAAGTATCAAGAAAATCATGATAATGAAAGAAATTGGGAAGTAAAGAAAATATTGAAATCTCCATTAATTACATAAGCAATGGAAAATTTTGGAAGCAAGATAAAATCATGAATATTGATGATGCAATTGCATATATGGTATCACAAGAAATTGATAATGAAGTTGAAGAAATTGATAAAATCTGTGATTGAGTGTCACAGATTGAGTGATAGAAAAGACATGATTGGGACAAGTAGAAAGGCGCTATTCAAGCCGAGTTTGATTCACTTAATAAACGAAAAGTTTTCTGACCTATTGTTGTTATACCAAAAGGCATAAAACCTATTGTATACAAATGAGTTTTTATCAAAAAAAGAAATGAGAAATATGAGACCACAAAATATAAAGCTCACCTTGTAGCACAGGGATTCTCCCACAGGTTTGGGATCGATTATGATGAAACATATTCCCCTGTTATAGATGAAATTACTTTCAGATAGTTAATCAGTTTAGCTATCCATGAAAATTTTGAGATGCGTCTCATGAATGTTGTGACTGCTTACTTATATGGATCATTAGGCGACGACATACATGAAAATTCCAGAAGGGATCAGAATGCCCGAAGCACTAAAATCCAAACCTAAAGAGTTATGTGCGATAAAGCTGCAAAGATTATTGTATGGCTTAAAACAATCCGAGCGTATGTGGTATAATTGTTTGAGTGAACAATTGCTAAAAAAGGGATACATAAATAATTGAATACGTCTGTGTGTCTTTATATAAATATCACAAGATGGAGTTATGATAATTGTTGTCTATGTTGATGGTCTTAATATTATTGGGACAACAAATAAAATTCAAGAAGTAGTCACTTTACTGAAAGGCAAATTTGAAATGAAAGATTTCGGGAAAATCAAATATTGTCTCGGCTTGCAGATAGAACGGATACAAAATGGGATGTTTGTCCATCAATCTAACTACACTAAAAGAGTACTGAAACGATTCAATATGGACAAAGCTAATCTCCTTAGTACTTCGATGGTCAATCGAACATTCGATGTTGAAAAGGATCCATTTCGACCATGTGAAGAAAATGAAGAAATACATAAAGTACCATATATGAGTACAATATGAGCTATTATTTATCTTGCTAATTGCACCAGACCAGATATATCTTTCGCTACAAACTTATTAGCGGGATATAACTCGTCACTAACGAGGAGAAATTGAAATGGAATCAAACATTTATTTCATTATCTCCAAGGGACAACCGATTTGGTATTGTTTTACTCAAATGATAAAAAACATGAAATGATCAGTTTTGTATATGCAAGATATTTATCAGACTCACATAAGGCGAGGTCTCAGAATGGTTACATTTTAATGATTGGTGGAAGTGCATTTTCTTGGCATTCTCAGAAACAAACATTAGTTGCTACGTCTTCAAACCATGCTGAGATCATTGCACTTCATGAAACAACTAGGGAAAGCATCTGGATCAGAAATATGACTCAACATATTCAACAAGCCAGTGGATTATCGAATAATAAAGATCTTACGGTGATATTCGAAGACAATGCAACACGTGTTGTTTAAACCAAAGAAGGATACATTAAGAGTGCCATAACTAAATATATCCCGCCAAACTTCTTCGCATACACTCAAGAGCTTGAAAGGAACAAACAAATCAAAATTCAATACATTCGATCAAGCGACAATGCAACATATTTATTTACGAAGACGCTTCTGACTCCAATATTTCGAAAGCACGTCAACAACCTTGGAATGAGACATCTTATGGATTTGCACAAATGATAACTTGAGGGAGAGCATGTGCGGTTGTACTCTTTTTTTCTTATCTTGGTTTTTTTTTTCCCATAGGGTTTTTCCGGATAAGGTTTTTAACGAGGCAGCATAAACGAGCATTTAATAGAGGTAGTTCAAAGGGGGAGTGTTATGAACAAGTGGAATGTACTAGTATTCATAAATAATGATTCTATCACATGTGAACAATAAGGGGTGAGGAATATGAATACATTGATAATGTCGGTAGATTATGCCTATAAAAGGCACTCCAAATGAAGTGAAATAATATACATTTCAGAAGAAAGAAGAAAATATTGAGTATAATTTATATCCAGTTTTTATATTGACTTATTTATCTTTCCCATTTTTATAAAATTTTTATTTTGATACTAATTATTATTTGAGGTGATAAATATTAAATCCCCTCTATATATAATTTCATAATAGGTTGAGCCTACGTGACAAACTCTCACGCTTCATAATCCTATTTGGCAAAAAACCATGCTTTGGAGTTAGGCTTGGATATAAATTAATATTTTTTATCACACTAAATCTATGATTGGTTTTTTCCTTCTTTATTTTTACAATTAGTTACCATAAATTATTATATTTCTTTTTCCTACACTAACATACATTACATTTCTTTTTCTTATTTAATTCATTCATTAGTTATTATAAATGTTTTTTCTTCTTATTTTAAGATTTTATAACTTTTTTGTTTGTATTTTATTTTTTATATATAATATATCAAATTAAGTATATTTTAACGATTTTCTATTTGACATCCATATTATATATATAATACAAAATATTTATATATATTCTTATAAATAAATTTTAAGTTTATTTATCAAACTAAATTAAAATATATTTAACAAAAACTATAAATTACATTATAAAGTAATAGAAATTGGTCTGTATTCTTTTAAAAATAATATATATTTCAAATCTAATTGGTATGTTATCAATCTAATAATAATAAATAATTATTTATCTAAATTCTAAAACTACATATAAAATTAGAAAACTATAAAGCACGATGGATACGACACTTGATGTATTAGACATCTAATTAAGTAAAAAAATTAATTTATTTTGCTTAATATTAAACAAACATATTCTGCACTTATGCATATGCATATTACCATATTATTTTTATTTATTTAATAGTAAATAATATTGATAATTTTATATGATATAAGTAAAAAAATTCAATATGAGTTGACATTTTTATTTAATATACGGATATTTAATTAATATGATTAAAAAAATATAATTTGACATTTTAATTAAAACCCAAAGTAATGTTTTATATAAAATTAAATTATTTTTTTCTAATTAAGTAAAAAATTAATCTATTTTGCTTAATATTAAACAAACATATTCTGCACTTATGCATATGCATATCACCATATTATTTTTATTTAATAGTAAATAATATCGATAATTTTATACGATATAAGTAAAAAAATTCAATATGAGTTGATATTTTTATTTAATATACGGGTGTTTAATTATTATGATTAAAAAAATATAATTTAATAATTTAATTAAAACTCAAAGTAATGTTTTATATGAAAATTAAATTATTTTAGTTAAAAAAATAATATTTTTTACATATGCTTCCTAATTCAACATCAGTGTATTTACACGGGTATTGTACTAGTATTTTTTATTTGAAAATAGATTTCTGGTGTTTGGAAGCAGTGTACTAACTAATCGTACGTCGTCGTTTATGTGCAAGAATCTCTCACAAACAATCTCCATCTTCCTCGACAAGAACCCCTGCGATTTTCACACTCCAACAAAGGTTACAACTTTCTGTCCATCTCTTAGCGTTTTAGTGTATTTATTCAAATTTGATTGCACATTTGTTCCTTTTCCCCGTGCTGTTGTTACACGATAGAAAATTTCATAATGTTGTAGAAAACAGCATTTCAAAATCATGTTTTGCCCTTTTAGCTGCCCTTACGATGTCAAACGAAATTTAAAGCGTCGTCTTCAGTTACTATCCAAAATTACTGGATTATTGACCGACTGATTTTCACAGCTCTAAATGTCGCAATTGTTGATTTATGCACATAACCTGTTTGTAAAAATGTCTGCAAGGGATACAGAGTAAATAATTCAAAGATCTTGAGAAATTCCTAATCATCTATCTGACTGAGCAGGTAAACTGTATACAAAGTTGCTATATACTTACAAAAACTTTGCAAAAATTGCAGCAAATGGCTGGAAAAGCAGCAAAATCAGTGGCGAAAGCCGTAGGCGAATACCAGTACCCATGGAAAGATAAGCTGGCAAAGTACAGGGACGAGCTCTCAAAAGGTGTGTGGGGATACTGGGAGCTCGGGGCCTGGAAGCCTCTCGGCATTAGTGCACGCCGCAGGGCCCGCCTGCGCAAAGAGGTCCTTCTTGCAGGGGCAGATTGGGAATTTGACCCGGAGAGGAAGGAGATGAAGACGAAGAGGAAAGGGCACAAGGTCGACAGGCTGGCAGCCGAGAAAAGGGAACGTACGGCAGAGCTCATGCAGGCCATGCCAGATATGCTGGCCGACTACCGGAAGAGAAGGTGGGAGAGGAAGATGAAGGCGGAGGAGGATGCCGCTAAGAAGGCCCTGCAGGAGTGAATTTACCATTTTAGCCCTTTTGGAGTAGGGTTGAGATTTGGAGGTAATGTTTTTTTTTTGGTTGGAGTTAGCCTCAAGTTTTATTCTTGTTTTGGTTGTGGGATATGGTATGAATCATTCTTTCCTTCCTTTCATGAGACCTTGGATTTTTCTTTTTCTCCATTGTTATTTTGGTGTACGGTTTGCTTGAAATGGGTCTTGTCCTGAAATATTTGTTGTGTGTGAGACATTGCTTGATTGCTGGCTGTTATGTGCTGGACATGTAAGTACTCTTCTGTGGAGGTAGCTGATGAAATGGTCGAAAATTAGTCTTGCTGTTTTCGTTTTTGCTTCTTAGAACATCCCTTATTGAATATTATTGTGTGTATGAGATGTTTTGTTTGTTCTCTCGCATGGCCTAATTATGCGAGACGCTCAACATTACATTAATATGGCTGTTATTTGTATTCTATCTTTAAAACTTAAGGGCTGTGTTATGGTTAGCAAAATATACCTTTGTAGCAGTTTTATATAGGGGTAGCTGATTTATATGGTTTTCTTCTTTGGTACTCAATTTTCCAACTTAATTAGTTTGGTACCCGACATTTTGTTAGTTAATCAATTTGGTCCTTGCCATTTCAAAATCTAACCATACTGTTACAACTATTTGTTTTAATTAATTGAACAATATAATTAAATTTAATAAAATAATTAATAATAAGCAATCTGAAAATCTTTATATATATGTGTATATATAGTAATCTAAAGATTACTTATGTTTAACACTTACTAAAAAAGAAGAATAACGTTATTGAAATTTCCAAAATTGGAAAGCTATATAACATTTCCTTTGTACATTTTTTTTCCAACTTGGGCGAAAATCTAATCGCAGTACTTTATCAAATACTATCAAATTGAAATATAAAAATGAATGTCAATAATCATTTCAGTCACAGAATATATGACGTTAAAATGATAACCTAATAATCGAATTTTTAAATCACTAAATGATTTATGAGCCAGAAAAGTAAATTAAAATGCATATAATATATTTCCACAAATTAAAAATTGAGTAAATTATTAATTAAATATTTTGAACTCTTTTTGTATTTCTCTTACCATTGGTTCTTTTGGGTATCATCTCTAGTCTACCCCAACTTGCTTGGGACTAAAAGGCTATGTTGTTGTTGTTGTTAAATTATTAGACATTATAATAGTACTTTTAGTTACATTTACAATAATATAATTCATACAGCTCTATATATATATGTTGTGCATTGCACCAGCAGGCCATTACTTTATTATCATAGGGTTAAGTAAAGAAGTGAATGTATCTTCTTCACCTATCTCAACGACCGAGATTCTAAAAGATTGCTACTTCAACTTTTCCCTGCAGGAGATCCCAAAATCTCAATGTTATATTAATTTTTAAATGAGAAATATATGTTGAAATGTCATTTCTCAAAGTCTTCTGCTCGGAGCTCCCAATTATCGATTAAGTTTCAAAATTTCAACAAAGCGTATCCGGGAGTTTGAAACTTCAACCAACCATTTGAAGGTCGAAAATTGATAGGTAGCCATCAATCAATTTTATATTTTGAGTTCATAATTGTATTTATTTGGAACTCAATTTTTATGATTTTGTTTGGATTTTATTTTTTTCAATTCTTCCGGCAAGTTTCAAAGACTTCTCCTCAGCGCCATTAGTTTTTTATGTTATTTTTACCGAACGGATCAAAATTGGTGCCAGGCACCAAAATTACTAAACTAGAACTTCATGTAGAAAGGCCAAAAACATGTAAAAATTGGGTATCAAAAAGAATTTTTTTCATCCAATTGATCCAAAGGACAGTTCAACTAAATACTTGCATTTGCGCAATATGCTAATCACGCAACGTTCCAATATTAACACAGGCGATCCACAAACATGAACCACATGCTAATAATTAAGTGCGATAGAAACAAAACACCATAACACATAATAGGGTAGAGAGTCTCTCCTAGACATATTACATAATCTGAAAACAGCAAAAGCTGAGGCAACCAGCAAGTTTTTATAGATGCATTTTCATGACTGTTCACTCGAAAGCCCACTGATTCTCCCTGCGGACTTCTTCTTCTTCCTCAGGAGTAAAGTCGTTCTTGATGTTGAATGTCTTACGAATTTCCTCCGGAGTTTTTCCCTTAATCATATCAGCAACAGTCTGGCAGGTCAGATCCAGAAGGGATTTGATATTCAGGAAGTTTGCAGCCTAGAAAAAGCAAGTGAAAACAGTGGTAAATATTAACATCCAAAAATTTGAAATAACGAATATCTCCCCAGTTGCTTTACTCTCAGAATTCAATACCAAATGGAAAATAGTCATAAACCCAGTAGTGCAATGTACATACTAATTTCAGAAGCTCATCTGAAGCTATAAATTAAGAATAAGGAAGATTCCATCATGAATTAGTGCAGAACATTTAATAATTTCATAATCCTCTCTATCATCTAGTGCATGCACAAATCACAATGATTATGACATTATGTGATATATGATAATAATTCTCTAGAACACAGCTTCCAGAAGAGCTAAAGACTAAAGAAGGCAATTCATAAATAAAACACCAGATGCAACTCGACCACTAAAGAAAAGAAAAATATAATCAATTAATCTTACAAAAGGCTATATGCCTATGGGAGGCTTGCAATATGCGACTTATAAGAATATATGCCTATGGGAATAAAGATAAGAAAAAGGATATAAGAAAAAGGATGTACGATTGAAAATGGTCAAATGTACTTGAAATGACCTCTGAATCAATAGAACAAATATTCATTTGTAAATAAACTTTACTATCTAACATAGTAGTATGAACCCCGTGCGTTGCACAGGTAAGAAAATATTAATAATATTTAAAAATTGAAAATATTAAGTTAATATGAAATACAAGTTACGTACATTTAATTGAATAAGATACAAAAAATTTGACCTGTGCATAACTACATAAAACATGTCTATCTAAAATATTAAAACATCTAAAATGTCAAATAATATGTGTAGAAATATCTAATTCCTATTTGGTAGAGGTGTTAAATTGCCTAAATTATTATAAAAAAACATGTTTAAAAACACCTAAATTGTCATATAGAAAGTTCATTAAAACACAAACGATCAATTTTTTATGGAAATAAGGTAGATATTATTTCATATTCAGATTTACAATCACCCCGATCTACGATCTTTTTTTATAACGTAATATAAACATTATCTATATTCAAATTTAAATCATCCAAAGATAAAAACACATACAAAACCCATACGATTCTTTATAGGCGTACATGTTCAAATTTAAATATATAACGTTGCAGCTGGATATACTTTGAAAATAAATGTTAACTCTTATTTAAACTTAAATCATGTTTGGCGAGCTCAAATTTAAATTATCTAATGCTGAAAACATGTTGGAGAATTCTTGTTATGAACATAAAACAATATCTTGTATTTAAAAAAAATAATGTTTGTCGATATTATCTCATATTTAAATTTAAATCATGTTTGACGTAAAAATTCCAACACTATATTATCTTATAAAAAAAGTGAAAGTTTTGAAGGATTTTGTGATATGATCACTACCAAGTTATTAATTCAACATCAGAAGGGATTTTTATCAAGTAAGTTATGAAAGGGAAAATATGGCATTCAGAACTTTAGGGATTAACATGATGTATTTAAATAAATTTAAGGGATTTTATCCATAATTTTATATGGCATTCAAAAGTTTTAAATTCAAATTATTTTTTAAATTTCTATATTAAATAAGCAATTTTTTAATGGAAAATTCATACTATTTTTATTAAATACAAACCTTTATATATATATATATATACCATATAAAGACAACACAAGAACAAGGATAAGGTAACAAAATTTATAATAGAGCACTCTTATCTGAAGTCATAAGTAATTATCCCTATAATTTGGGCAGAAAGAGGACCATATCGCACAGCCTGTAACTAGAGAAGCTATGACAGGAACAGAGTGGCGAAAAAGGGGCCAATGCAGTAAGCAGAGATGCAGGCATCGAATGAGGTAAAGCAGAAAACTTTTACACATATTATATCAGAACCGTACTAAGAAAATGTTTATACAAATTTCAACTGCAACCAAGTATATGATCAAAGTCATCAGAGATTATGAACAACCAAACATACAAGACTTCAAACTCCCATTGTAACATTGCTAGTGAATCGAACTGTCTATCAACGAAATAAAATTGCACCAACACAGATCATTATAAAATTAAGGTGGAATAAATGAATTACCAAAACAAATCTAATACATAGCACATGCTACAACGACGATATATGAGTTAGAATAAGCTCCAAATATGCAAACCCTAGAGTGCAATCCCTTACTAATTCCACAAACAACATAAATAAGTTTACCAATGTAAGAATAGCCCTAAAGATCATACCAAAATAAGGTCAAACAGCATGGCCTGATCAACTTTGACGAAATCAGCATCAAATGCCTTCAGATCGTCCTCGGTGTTGGCAGTAGAGGCGAGCTTGTCCTCGGCCCTGGTGGCGTTCGCGGCGGCGGCGGCGTCCACGTGGCGCTTGCAGTACTCGATGACCTTGGAGAGGATCTTGCCGGTGACATTGGGGAGGGGGATGACGTTGTCGGCGCACTCGTCTTCGATCATGTGCTTGATGGTCTGGGACTCGATGGCGACCGACTCGTCCACCTCGAAGACCTCGCCATCGGAGCTGCGGAGGATAATCTTCTTTCCACCGTTCTCAACCGCGGATGACGACATCTTACTGATTTCAGAAAAGGGGATGAGGGAGGATGTTCGAGAGGAAGGGAAGACGGAATTCAGGGCTTGAGTTTTTAGGGATTTTAGAGGGGAAATTCTACGGCCTGCCTAGATATGGGAAAAAGTCGGTTCGGGCCTGAAATGCGGTTCAACGGCCCTTTTATTTGGAACCGGGAACCGGTGGTCCCGGTTCAAAACAGGTCTAGCTAGGCCTGTAAACGAGCCGAGTTGAGCTTGAATTTAACGAGTCAGGAATCGAGTTCGAACTCAGCTCGTTTATCACTATTAACAAACCGAATTCAAGTTTTAATGAGCCGATTTTCAGTTTAACGAGCCAAACAATAGAAATAATATTTAATTCTCTTTTTCGAGCCTTAACGAACCTAATCGAGTCGAGCCCATTAATCAAACAACCTTTAAACAGGCCCGAGCTTGGCTTGTTCAGGCCTCGAGCTCGAGGCAAATCAGACACGTTCAATTTAACAGCACTGAGCTTTGCAGTCTATATGGGATTGGATTTCTTTTTAAATAGGACTAGTATAATGTCCGTGTACTACACGGGCGTTAAATTAAAAAATATATTATAAAAGTTAATGCTAAATAAATTTTTATTTAAAAATTTTGATGGATAATTAATGAAAAAAAAAGAATAGACAATGCATAAAGTGATTTGTAAATATAATTTAGAAGAGAAATATGAGAGAAAAATAAGATTGCTACCTGCCCAAATTAAGAAAGAAATTTGTACTAAGAGAAATAAAATAACAAAAATAAATGTACACTTACCAAGTTTGGAAAAAATTATTTATGTCTATACCAAGCCTGAAAGTAAAATATTAATATACAAACAAAAATTCGAAGCATAGATTTTTGTCATGTCACCATCTGAAGCGTGTGAGCCTGCCACTTAGACTAAACACGTTTTGAATTAATATATAAGGAGAATTAGGAGAGCTTAATTGAAGTTATTATCTGATTCTGTGCACATGCACATACATATGTGAATAACATATTATAATATTACAATTATATGTTAGGGTACTCGAATTTTAAAAATGTGTTCATTAATAAAAATGAATAGTATGAAACTATTTAACTACATCAATCAATATATTAATATATTGATTACATATAGTGTTCGTTTGATTATAATAAGGTATTCCAATACATTAATTCCAGCCCACTGAATTGTTAGCTTACATTTTTTAATGAAAGAATATCTTACCATTACCCATTATCATGTTTATTTGGTCAATATTACTCATTGCCTATTTGACAAATTTCTNCTCTTGTCGAATTTGGTATATAATGCTCTTGAGATTTATATATATATAGATATAGATGTAGATATATATAAAAGAGATTGTTGCAGCAAGGCAACACCCCCGACAACGGAGCCACCAAATCAACATCCCCGCCTCCACTAACCACCCACTCACTATCACGGTATGACAGAAAATTGTTTAATCCCACCCAACACCAACTTGTCGATCTCGATGGCGCCGTTGCCGTTGGCATCCTGTTGGAGAGGAGGGTGTGGATCTGGTTTCCGACTTGAGGCTGATGGAGCAGAGGATGACAAAGAGCTCGAGATGGGTGAGGCTACTTATAATAGCTCGGTAGACACATTGAAGTGATTAGCTCGGGTTAACTGGTCCAAGATAGCTTCAAGCTCGATAATATAGTTTTACTACGTCAAGGAGCTCGACATGACAACTCGAGGTAGGGGTCGGTTCTGGTTGCAAGCTAGCAAGCGGACTCACATGGGAGCTCGGCTAGAAGGGGCAGTCATGACCTGGAGGTCATATAAACGACCTAGTAAGGAGTATGGTAGCAAAGTTGTAAGGCCGGTGGGATGACCTAAGGACCTGCTGAGTCATGGTAAAGGAGTAAAAAAATATTATATTAGCATGGTAAGTATATCTTGCAAAGAAGTGAAAGATCTTGGGAGACTTGTCATATTAAGAAAGGAGATGCAGAGAGATCTCTTTTCTAGTAATGAGCTTACGTGAGCAAGAAGATAATCTCCTTATAAAAGGAGATTAATTATAAGTTCTTTTACAATTAACGTGCACTTTATACTTTACATCCCAGTTTCAGTTCACGAGCGAGATCAAACTTGAGTGTCGGAGGTTTTTCTATAGGGACCCCTCCAGGCGCGTTTTACATGTCACCAAAGCTCAGGGTGAAGGACGGTTCGTGTTGTTACTGTTGTAGTTATTTTTACCGGAGTAGAATCGAAAGATTCGAGCCCCGGGTTGTTTCTCAAGGAAGGTCAGCCGGATTATTTGTACGGATATTCAATCACATGAAAAAGAAAATAAATTCCTAAACACTCTAATTCAATGATTTGGGTTTTCAATTATCAACTAATAATTCTTAAACCACGCAAATAAACAATTATCAATACTTAAAACGAATTTCTTCTACGTACGAGGGCTAGGGAATCGGGGATGATTATACTCAAATCAAATTCAAATACCAAGCAAAAATCATTCGGCTAAATGATTCAATCAATCTACACATCTAGAAATTATTCCTCAATAACTTCTCGTAACAAGAGGAAAAATATAGACGGCAAATCAAACCAATCAATTAACACGTAGGCAATACAATTACGAACAAGCCTACTCTAGTCGAGCCTAGATCGACCGACTTTTCCCCTTTCGGTTCTACAAGTCGATTAAGTAGATCAGGATGGTGATCGAGCATCTAACCCTAGGTTTAAATCAACTCGAAAAGATTGAACGAAAATCACAAGTAAGATAAGCACACGAGTACGAGTAATCACCCCCTATCCCTAGCTTAAGGATTTAGCCACTCATGTCAAGATGAACACAAAACATTTTATAAAGTAAATATTCCAAACTCATAATCAAAATGAGAAGAAAACTTACGATAAATAAGAGTCAAGTGTTGAATCTCAAGAACAATCCAAATCCATGATGAAATTTCTTGGGTGTCACTCCAAAAAATCTCCAAATAAACAAAGATAAAAGAACAAGTTTTTTCGTCTTAAAAAAACGAGAGAAAATGAAGTCTGCCCAATCAATCTAAAAACCCTTGCTCGATCCTACTTAAACGTGAACATATTTCGAATTTTAAAAGATTTTAGCGCCGCGGCGCGGCGCGATGATGTGGAGGCGTGATGGCATCACGTGATGGTGGTCACGGCGTGGAGAAAGGAGGTGCAACGGCGCGGGAGTGGTTCGCGGTGTGGGACATGAAGGAGCAAGCTGCTCTGTACACGCGTTAAGGGTGTCGCGGAGTGGCTCACGGCATGGGAGAAAGGAGGTACCACAGCGCGGTTGTCTTCGCGGCGTGGCGACTGAAAAGGTCCATCTGAAGGCCCGTTGAGGGCGTCACGTGAAGGGCAGCGGCGTGAGGGAGTCGGGGTGCCGCGGCGCGAGATACTCTACGGCGTGACATATGAGATGAGAGTTCTGAAAGATCATTGAAGGTGCCGCATGTGAGCTCGCTACGTGAAAGAGGTGAAATGCCACTGAGAAAAGCTTGTCTGACATGCACTTTGTAAAACCGGGACAATTCGACAGAATAAACTTCAAACATCTAGTCAAATATCCAAACCTGCACACCTCCAAGAACAAGAAAATACCCGGAAATAGAGAAAAAGAATAAATATACGAAAATAACAAAATAATAGAAAGATATCACACAAACGACTCGAGGACCAAAAATCCTATTAAAAGACCTAAACCGGGAGCTAAAAACATATAAACCAATAAAGAAAAAGATAACAAAAATAGGACAAACAACTCCTCCACGCTAAAACCTTTGTTCGTCCCGAACAAAAAAGAAAGGAAAAGAAAAGAAAAACAAATAAATGAACAAGGACAACGGTTCAAGCAAGACTAATCTCAAACCAATCAATCAAGTCAAGAAGAATTCAAATGATCACAAGAACACACCCCAACTATTAACTTGGCCATTTTGAAGAACATAGACTCTTGAGTACAAAAGTATATCATATGTGCCTCACTCAGTTTCTTTCTCAAATATCAGCTGGGTACACTCAAATTGGTCGTCAGTCGAATCAATCATAAATTTGCCTATCGTCTAACTTTTACTCTAAAACAATCAAATTCGTGAACCCGTGAATCAAGAGGACTTTAAGGGATGTAACGTAGGCTCTTGGATCGGGTAGGATAAATATAGGCTAACTGGCTAAAATAAAAAAAAAAAAAAAAAAAATCAAATCAACTCAATCAGATAACCATAATCATGAACTCTTCCGGTTGCTGACACCAACCGGTTCCTTCCACTACTCCAAAACAAACATACTTCCAAAATTATTCACCATTTCTCTCTCTTTTATTTATTTATTTATTTTTTGTGTGAGAACCTTTGGACATTTTATGTAATCCATTCGGTTTCTCTCTCTCTCTCTCTCTTTTTTTTTTTATGGGAGAACCTTCGGACATTTTATGTATCCATTTGGTTTTTCTCTCTTTTTTTTTAAATATATATACAAACACGAATCACCTCCAATATTCTACACCTCCAACTCTACACCCGCAATTCCACAATATCATCGTCACGAGGTTATAAAAGAAAGAAAATCAATAAGGCTCAAAGGGGGTGACTAGCGAAATTATTTTTAGAAAAAGAAAAGGGAAAGGAAATACAAAAAAAATGCCTCAATCATATTCACGTTCATAAATCCAATTATTTCATTTCTAAGTAGACTCAAGGCAAATTCTAATTGATAACGATTCTGACCAATAACTCACAAGAAAAGAAACGAATGTGGCTCAAACCTCACAAGGTGAAATAAATGTCAACAAAACAACCAAGCCAATTAATCAAGATATGCAACTCGTTCTCATCATCGCAACTTCTTAACTCAATCAACCAATCATTAACCATTCTTACAATACACCAAAGTCCAAACTCACAAAGACACAACAAATAATCCTAAAAAACTATACTGGACTACCAAGCAAGAGAAAAGAAATAAAACCAATCCTAAAAAGAAAAACTAGACCTGGTCAACCACATAGTCACGTAAGCACGTAAAACTCCCGCACACTTAAAATTAGACAATGTCCCCATTGTCGATTCGCGG